ACAGTTCTTCCTCACCTACTGCTGAAAAAGTTTGAAGTTTATCCTTTCAAGGGTCTACAGTACTCTCATTGGGATGATACTGTTGAAGGCAGATCGATGGTGCTTATTTCATCTCTGATATCATCAATCTTGCATGTGAAGAAATTCATAAAGTTATTACTGCTGTGTTGAGAAAGCTTGGAAATGTTGGAGCTTTATATTTAGATTGGTCACTAAGATTGTGTTTATTTTTTTCTAAAGTCGGTATGGTGCCCTGGAGGCTTATTTAGAGTTGCCAATATAAATGTAGTACTGCTGTCAATCAGTTAAAAAAAATTAACTACTTTAACTTTTAAATTAATCGCATTTAAAACACTGAAACTTGTAATTTTGGCTATTTAAATGTAAAATTAATGTAAACGCAAGACAAAAACTATTTAAATTCAAAATACAATTGTTTATTAGAATTTTTGTTAAACTTGTAACACAGATTTCTTCATGTAAACAACATACCCACAATAAACCATCAAGATCCTGGCCTAACAGCCATATTTATTGCAGAAATTAAAACACAGGCATGTTAATGCCATTTGAATTTTAAAACAATCAATACCAATAAAGAAAACATTGATTTCCATGTTGGATTCTAAGTGGACTGCAAAAACATGCCAAAAACAGGCATTGCAGATATTTAAATTGGAAAATAAAAATAATAATAATAAACTATTGAATACAGTTGCACTCATTGTAAAGTTGTATTGCTGTTGAGAACATTAATTATAAAGTAGAAACAATTTTGCTTTATCCTCCTTTACACTCATCCAGTTGCTAAGACTATAGGAGTATCCCACAAATGCACACTCCCGGATGCCAGCAAATGAATGATAATCTCCAGCAAATGGATCCTTAAAAACATTGCGCACCCCTTTCCACCGCATCCCTCTTAGCTCTTCTGGTATGTCATGCGCAACTCACCCCCACCGCTATTCAGGTACGTGTCGCGCGCACACGCCCCTTCTCAGATACGTCACTCAACCCCTGAGTAATGCGCTGTCTTTGACAGCTTGCGACTTCACCAGAGACTTTCTGAGTACATTTACATAAGACACCAATACTCAGATTTTCATATGATTAAGATAATACTCTTATTAAAAGTCTACCGTGTAAGCAGCAATTTGATTACTTTAAAGGACCACTGAGTCTCGAAATGCAGAGGTTTTTCTTTCCGTTCGCCATGCGGTATCAAATTCCATTAAAACTGAAGTCAAAAGTTTAAAATGAAACACCTGAAATTGCCTTCAAAAAGTGCATAATCCTTTAGGGTTATGTAATCGTCTGATTTTAACCAGGGTTTGGGAGGGGTTTTTTTATATTTAGAGGTTCGGAAAACACACAGTTTCTATGTTATAAAATCTGGGTAGCTCTATGAGCTTTAGATTATTTTAGTTTGGTAAACTGTGGAGACTGTTGGTTAAGCCAGTCTGTCTACTCCCTGACCTGGGCCCCAGTTAATCAAGTGCCAACACTAAGACTATAAGCCAGATTACCAGAGAGGAGAGTTGCCCCATCCTGGGTGGGATGAAGACCAGATCTCTTCAACAGGTCAGGTCTACCCCAGAAACTTGGCCAATTGTCTACAAAACCGATGTTATTCAGTGAGCACCACTTAGACATCCAGCACTTGAGTGATCGGAGTCGACTGTGGAATTCGTCACCATGATAAACGGGCAGGGGACCAGAGCATATTACAGTGTCTGACATTGTCTTTGCAAGATCACACACCTCTTTAAAATTACTTTTAGTGATCTCAAACTCACGTAGCCAAACATCATTAGCACCTACATGTGGATAATGATCTTACTGAACTCACATTTAGATTTAACCAGCACTTTTAAATTTGACATTTGCTCTAGCTTCTGGGTCAGTGTATCATTTGGTCATTGAATTTTTATTTTAGACATGGATTTTGAAAAAACAAAACAAGCCTTTTTTTGATTTTAGTTTTAAAAACGAAAATTGAAATTCAGTGCGTTTTTTGGTTTTTGAATTTGAAAACAAAAATGAAAAAACAGCTCGTTTTTCTTTTTCATAGGCCAACTCAGTGTTAATGCTGACCTGCTAGGCTAGCCTACTATAGGCTATTATTTTTATTTTTTTCCACTTAATGTTATAAAAGGTATTTTCCTGTTATAACAGGATTTTGTTAACTAAGAAAACATATTTCTCATATAAGGGCTGGTTATAGGCTATATATTTATTTTTTGTTGGTATGTTTTACATGAAACAACCTTTATTTTGACATTACATGCAAGCATTAGGTTGCTTTACTGAACACCTTTCTGATAAGACAGTTTTGATATTGTTAAAACCATAATACTTCCACTTCCCGTAGTTTGACCACAAATCATTTTAAATGAGGGAGGCATTAATAAAGTTGTTCATTACGCACATTTCAATAAGTCATAGTATTTAAAATAAAAATTAACAATTAATTTTATCTGAAAGGAGGCACGCTGCACAAACATCCCGATAAGCATCCCCTGTCTTTTAAAAACATTTTTATTTAGCATTTCATATAGCCATTTGCAAATATAGGAGCAAATTTTTAATACAGAAATTGAAATTATAAAAAAATAACCTACGGCATTTCATATTATTATATAACTACAACACTGAAAGATGAGCAATGATTGCAATGTTACTGTCGCTCCTGAAGTGGAAGTGATTTTAACAAACTTTATTTTCAGAAAACTGTTCAGCAATGCAAATAATCCATATATCATCAATTATTTTGTTCCATATAACTGGCTTTAATGAGAAAAATATGTATTAACAAAATCCTGTTATCACAAGAAAATACATTTTATAACATTATTAGGTGGAAATAAATAATAGCCCATAGGCTAGCCTGTGTGTGGCAACATTGCATCACTGTAATTGAGTTGACCTCTCTGGTTTGGCAATATAAAAAAAACAATTCTTTATTCGTTTTTGTTTACTGGTGATTTTATTTTTTGTTATTCAAAATAAAAAATGAAAATCAAATCATTTTTGAATTTTTAGTTTTTTTTGTTTTTTACCATGAAAAAGAAAATCGAGCCATTTTTTTATTTTCGTTTTCAAATTCAAAAACCAAAATCAAAAAACGAATCGAATTTCAATTTTCGTTTTTTAATTATAAATTTAAAAAAAATATATATATTTTTTTTATTTATTTATTTATTTTTTTTTTTTTCATTTTTTTAATATCCCTCTCTAAGAGGAGAATTCAATGACCAAAAGATACACTAACCCTCCTGGCAGACATTTGACTATCGTGGTTGGTGACTCTATTTGCACATTCCGTACTTTGGAGTCACCAATTACTAGGGCACTTTCATCGGGTTTCTCAGTGGACACAGATCACAGATTTCTGTCAGCCTGACTATTTCCCTACATTTATCACTTGTAAAGCCCTCATTGCTGACAAAGAGAGATACACTAATCATGTGGCAGGAAATGCATGTGAGAAGAACAGGAGAAGCCATTTTACTCACTGTGAGTTAAAGTAGATTCTGACTTAACATTGGAATATGATAAAGGCCTCAGCGATCCTGCAGCGAACTGTAAAATACAGCCTTAACCGTCAACAAGGACTACTTACTTATTTTCTAGTCAATATAAAACAAATAAGACTTTTTCTGGAATAAAAAGTATTATCAGACATACTGTGAAAATGTCCTTGCTCTGTTACACTTAATTTGGGAAATATTTAAAGAAGAAAAAGAAAATCAGTGGGGGCTAATAATAATAGGAGTTGGCCCCGAAGTGAAAAAGTTAAGAACCTGTGCTGTAAAGGATTTAAATTTCAAAAGTTATGCTATTGTTTTATGTGTATTCTAATAATGCAATGAAATTGTTGTTTAGAGTGTGTCTGCCTCCCGAACTGTGCAAGGTAGGCTGTTCCACAAATATCATATCTGGCACCTACACTGTGGAACAGCCTTCCTTTGGACACCTCAGGGTTAGATGGTATTGTAGGTTTTTGACATGAGGTTTTTGGGTCCAATTACCAAGACCTTCTTCAGTAATAATACATTTTTAATCATCCAATGTTTAATATCAGCTGTTCAATATGTTAGTTTTGTGAATTCTTACTAATTGTCAGGTTGAGCGAAGATATAGTGATGGGTGTCATCTGCATACCAGTGGAAACTAACTTGTTTTTTAATGATTTCGCCTAGCGTACTGTTGGCCACCTTAAGACTTGTTTGCAGGAAGAATAGGACAAATTGACAAGTGCCTTCAGGGTCTAAACGTCTTTTAAGTGTTGTGTAAAGGAATGGTAACAATTGGATTATATGTTTATTTTAGGATCATTAAATATTTGTAGTTGTATTGTCTGCAATCAAATACAGATCAAAGTAAATTTAGAAATCACTACTTTTTTGTGTTTTTCATCCTATCCCAACCTTTTCTGATTTTGGGTTTTATATACAAACATGCATACATACTTTTGTTAAACCACTGTAAGTTTAACTGCAGGCACTGCGTGCAAGCAAAGAGGAGTCAGTCAGATTTATCTGAAGAATTAGAACAGTCCTCACACTGTTTATGGCAGTCATTCGGTCATATATTCATATAAATCATTTCATTATTCCTCTTCAGTTAGAAATGCGTCATCATACTGAAATAAAATTCAGTAGCATTTTCTGGTTCACACAGACTTTGTGTGGATAAGTAATTTTTTTAAATAAAAAAAATGAAAATAGTCATTTAAAAAAAAAAGCCATTGAATCTGTCATGACATTTGGAGTGTAAATGTACTGAGTGTAAATGTAATTGCATGACATAAATTGTTAATTGTTAAATTTTGCATAAGTAATGTATGTGTGTAAAATATTTTTAACCCAATAAAGATGTTGAATTGCTTGCATGAATGAGTACTGATAGCTCAAATATAAGGTTATTGTATCAAGATTTAAAATGAATGGAGACTAATAACATTGGTCTGTATTCTTTTTATGTGTTGTTCTCCACAGATGTGATAGTGGGCATGGGCTTCTCCAAAGAGAAGATTCATGAGTCTTTGTTCAAAATGAACTATGATGAGGTCACAGCCATATACTTACTGCTGGGCAGGAAGACCCATGAGGTGAGTTACAAATGGCAATTGGTTACTTATAACAGGTCTGTTGTCCATAATAGTGTGAGCTGCTGTTTTTGTGTGTTTGTAGGAGGTCAGTGACTCCAGCTCCAATAGTAATCTCTCTGTGGCAAAGACCAGACCCTCTAGTGAGATGAACAGCCAATCACCATCTCACCTAAAGGTCCAGAGAAGCATCTCCTCTAGTGAATCTCGAAAATCCAGACGCCATAGTGAACAAGGTGACTTTCTCTTTGCATGCAGAAAAAAAATGTTGGCCCATTTTGGGACAGGCTTTCAATTGAAAAAAATTCCTGTGAGCTAATTAGTTAATCAGCCAGTGAAACATTTGTTATCAGTATATTTTTTATGAAGGTTGCAATTATTTGAAACCATAAAATTGTGAAATATGTGCTTAATTTTCATCAGTGCTTAATTTTCTTAGTCTAACTGCTGCTAAAAATAATTTATTGTTATAATATGTGTAAAACAGTGTTTACATATAAACAGTGTAAAACTTGAAGTAATCTCAGCATTCAATGAAGGACGGCAGTATACATCTTGTGAGGGTTATTTTAAACAAAGCAAATGCTTGTTTGTTTGGATTAATCTTCTGCTTGTCAGGTGAATCATTTCATCAGTCATCTAAGCCAAAGGTTTTTGCATAGAAATGTTTGCATTTGTAGATTACTAGTCTTCAAGTATTAATTCTTATGTCAAAGTGTTTTGCATTTTTAAGGTTTACATTTATAGATTACTAGTCGTAAAGTATTATTTGTTGAGTGATTGTGTTTTACATGTAAAAGTTTGCATTTGTAGATTACTGGTTGTATTATTTCTTAAGTTAAAGTGTTTTTGCATTTGATATTATTTGTTGGGAAGAATTTATTTATTTTTTTTAAGGAAAAAATGTTTTGCATTCAAGTAGGGGTGTGACGAGATGCTTAGTCCACAAGACGAGACGTGACACAAGATTTTTAAAGTATTTTTAAGAAATCTTCAAATGATGAAATATATAAATGGAAAATATTTTATTCAACTAAAAAAAATCACAAATTGCAAAACTATTCAGGTGCTTTTTAAAATAAATTTGTAATGAATGTTATTTAACTTCTATTTTAATGAATTCTATGTAGTAAAGGACATGCAAACATTGCAAAATATTTTGCTGATATGTTAATGAAAAATAGATTTTTTTTTACTTAACTTAAAAAAATGAAATACAAATCACAAAATGTAAAACCATTCAGGATTTTTTTTTAAATCAACTTATAATGAATGTTATTTTACATTTATTTTAATGAATTTTGCCATAAATGTCATGCAAACATTGCTATATATTTAGCTATAAGCAGTATTGACCAGCTTCTTCCTTGTAGAATTTCACATGAGGATCGAACTCCTTTACACAAATAGATTTTTTTAAATGTATGTAATCATGTCATTTTTAGTTTTTAATTTTTTAACCATTTCACTTGCATTCTGCAACAGCTTCCTTTTTTTTTTTTTTTTGATAATGATGATTATGATGATGATGATGATGATGATGACGACGACGACGACGACGACAGGTGTATGTGTCTCCAGTTCACTGTGTGTGTGCGTGTGTGCGTGCGCGTGCTCGCACTTGGAGGAGATGTGTGTGTCCATGGTCCTTTACTGACTCAATGGGTGCAGAGAAGTGTCAACCATCTCAGTGTGTTTGGCTTATCTTGTCGCAAAATGCAGCTAAAAGTCCTACAAAACGTTAATAGTTTGATTACATGTCTGAAATAGGAATTCTCCACGTCTTAATTCGATTAGTGTTTACAACGATTATGGCTTTAAGCATATCTAAAGTGCTTTTCCATCGTATGTTATGAGCCGTGGTTAATGCGTGTAGATGCAGTTGTAGCAGCCTCTGCTTCTGGACGCCGCAATCCTTGAACTCTGGTGAAGAAAAAAAAATTGGTTATGTCACACTCAACCGCACCAAATGTGTGATGCGCTACTCCGAAGCCAGCCTGTCAGGTGTGTGCAAAGCACTTAATGTGCGGTTCTAATCCAACCCTGCTTCCAATCTTCAGTGCTAAATTCACCCTCACGCTCCAGCATCATAACATTACAACTCACAAGACAACTTTTCACCTTGACGAAAAATCTTGTTGCGATTTAGTCTTGCGAGATCTGGTAGCCCGAGATCTCATCACATCCTTACAGTCAAGCTATTAGTAGAGTGGAATCATTTCTTAAACTAAAATTATGCATATAGATTAGTTTTTGTTGTTTTAGCATTTAATCCAAATTGTAGCTTAACTGCAACAGTAATGACATCTACTCAACCTGTGCATCTCCAACAAGCAGCGACACCCACATTGTACTACAGTAGGCTGTTTTATTTACTTTTTTCACAGTGTGCTTGCAGTTCATTCCTGTCATCACACGCCCATGCACACACAACACACAAAGACGGCAACGCAACACTAACAACTTACACCTGATCCACATTTCATTACATACACCTTCATCTGTGTCCAGTGGTCTGTGGTACATAAACCTTCACTGACTTTGCGCTCACCTCCACAATCAAACGAGGCCTTTGTACTCGACACGTTCGACATTGAGATTTTCTTTAAAACAACATGGGGTGGGCAAAAAAAACCAACCGTAAAATCAGACAGATAAACAGATATAGGACGTTTCTGGAACTACGTCATATCATTATTAATATTTCTTTAATAAAAGAAAGGCAATAATACTTTTAAAAATTACAAAAAAGACTGAGATAATCGATTTACATTCACAATCTTTCCATCCTCATTAATAATAATAATAACAATAATAATTATAATAATACAACATATATAAATGAATATAATAAAAATATGCTAATAAAATAAATAAGGAAATATAGGTAGCAGGGCAATTGAATACCTCTAATGAAGTATATAATCTTTTGTTTTTTGACTTTTCATCTCTTTTAATGTCTTCAAATATATCATAAATTCGCCTTTAAGCACTACTATTTTTGGGAATTTTATGAATGTGAAATTTTAATAATATCAACAAATCTTTTATAAAGTATGCGATCTTTTTATCTTTAAGTATTAAGCCAAACTTTATCATTTAAGTCTTAAAGATATTTTATGTTGTATCCAAACTAATACTTCATCCCAAAATGTTTATACATTGGAAAAACAAGTGTTCAATTGTTTCAATATCTAAATTACAAAACTGGCATACATTTGAGTCCCCAATATTGAATTTTTAACCTTAGAAATAATTTTGCTGGATAGATATGTTTTATAATTTTAAAGTTTTAATTTATTGTTCTTTACATTTAGGATTAACATGGTATGAAATTTTTTTTCCTAATATCATATATATTTTTCTTATCATAATGAGATAAGCTCTTTTACCCCTTCCTGAAAAACAAGACAGTGTAAGACAATCTCTCAAAATTAGCTTCAGGATTTTCTATTTATAAAGTTAATATTTTCTGTTTTAAGACCTACTGTTTTGGGGTTTTATTGTTGAATAGCGTATTTGATCCTTCCATTTTCAAAGGTATATTAATAATATTTTGGAATGTTTATTTTCAATGATCACAACTTAAAGGTCTGTGTGAACAGTGGTTTGATAGGCCTTTGTAAGGTTTCCTGCTTAATTTTTTTTTTACTAAAACGACATGCCACAAAATGGCAACCACCTCAAATTATTCACTTCATTATATGATATCACTTCAATCCATTAACCAAATTTCAGCCGATGATCTTATGAAATTAACGGTTTCAGAAACTGAGACATTAAAGTCCCTTTACCCAAATCTCTTTTTCAGGCTTTTTTTTTTAACTCAAGCTACACTGCTGGATATGGAGCTCACAGAAGTTTTTGATCTCAGATCTCCCTTATCACCAAGCTCCCCATTCACATTGAAATAAACTATATAAAAACAAATGTCAGGAAACACTGACAATTCAACAATTGAGCAAAATGATGCAAAACCAATATTGAAAGACACCATGTTAAAGGAATAAGGAGAAATAAAGCAGTTTGTGGACACTTTTATTGAATGTATCAGTTTTAATTAATGTGAATGATGCATCTGAAAAACAATTGCCTAAATTGAAACCACTTTTGACTGATCACTTTGAGCACTTCAGGAAGGAATTTAATAACATATTGCATTGGAGGCTAAAGAATCATCTTTTAGAAATACTGAAAAATTTCAATTATGTTATGCAACAAGTGGCTGCTACCTTAAGTCTCATTTAAAAAGAAACAGATCAATGTGCTTAACAATTGAATACCTTATATTGCTTAGGTAAATTCCAATAAAACTTTACAGGCCGAAGTACAACAGTGTAAACAAAAGCTTAAAAAACTTAGGGCTGCTCGATTATGGGAAAATCATAATCACGATTATTTTGGTTATAATTATAATCACGATTATTCAAAACAATTATCAGTTGAAGTCAAAATTATTCTTCCTCCTGTGAATTTATTTTTATATATAAATATTTCCCAAATTATGTTTAACAGGTTTTTTTTTTTACAGTATTTCCTATAATATTTTTTTCTTCTGGAGAAAGGCTTATTTGTTTTGTTTCAGCTAGAATAAAAGCAGGTTTGAATATTTTGAAACCTATTTTAATAGCTCGATATTATTAGCCCCTTTAAGCAATATATACGTTTGATTGTTTGCAGAAGAAACTACTGTTATACAATAACTTGTCTATTTATCCTAATTAAGCCTTTGAATGTCACTTTAAACTGAATACTTAAAAAACATCTAGTAAAATATAATGTACTGTCATCATAGCAAAGATAAAAGAAATCAGTTATTAGAAAAGAGTTAATAAATCTGTTATGTTTAAACTGTGCTTTAAGCATCTTCACTGTATTTTTTATTTTATTATTGATTAATAATAAAAACAGCCGGCAGCAGTAGGAATACCGCACGCTCACTTTAAGAATAGTGCGGCTCTGATAAGGTTTCTCTTTCTTATGTCTTTTGATTCTCAACTTGTTTGTTTATTACACAAATGATGGTTAATATGAATAAACACTAAACACCGCGCTCTGACACAAGTGTGCATGTATTTGACTATTAAAGCGCTCACATTAAGATTGTGTTAGATGTGTGTGTGCTCTGCTGTTAAAGGCTAAGCGCGGCGCGCGCGCAAACACACACACACACGCTACCTGTCCGAGGCTAAGCACGGCGGGCACACACACAACAGCACGTGCTCTTTTGCGCTTTTAAAAACATGAATGATGCGCATCCCGTGCTGCAAAAGTTACATTACAGCACATGCTTTTAGTCATTTTCACGTGGAACTGAGCTTTGCAGAGGCAAAGAGTTTTCACACATGTACAACTGGAAAGGGGGCGGTACGTGATGGAATAATCGTTTATCTCGATTAATGGTTTTTCATAATCGTTACAAGCCAAAATCGAAATCGGATTTTCGATTAATTGCACAGCCCTAAAAAAATAGCACTGGACATCACAGCTCTTAAATCATCTCAGCAGATTTCCACAAAAGCAAATGCTTCAGTACAAACAGTTCTTTCCAGTGGTGGATTCTTTAGTGGTAAATCCTTGGTTGCAGTGGCTTCATTCCACTTTACAATGATTTTCATTCTTCTACTGAATTCGGTACTCCCACTGTGAAAGGAAGAGTAAGGTTTTTGAAAAAGCAACCCATTAAGAATCAATTCCCCAGATTTTTTTATTTTTTTTAATTTATTTATTTATATATATTTTTTTGAAAAATGTATGATTTCATGTCTTTCCGTTCACTTTCCAATGAAGATATAATAGCCTCACTCAGGAGTGTGCCTCATGGAACAGCTAGAGATTGGTGGAATGTTGCTTGACATGAAACAACTACTTGGCAGGATTTTGAATGCTAGTTTCTTTCTGCTTATCAGAAGACTACAAGGATGAGTTGGCAGAGAGAGTGTGAACACGAGTACAGCAAGAAGGTGAAACTAATAGAGATTTTGCTTGTGTGTAGAGCTTTGTGCAAATGCTGGAAACCACTCATTACAGAGGAGGGAATCATAAAGCTGATTCTTAAGAACATTAACCAGGGCTCAATGATAAGGACTGCCCGATGGCCCGGAGGCCAGCATATGAGACGCTCGGGACAGTAGACAGGATCATTACTTGTCACTAAAGTTTAATTTGCCTGCGACTATTTGTCAGTCTTAGAATCGAGAGTTAGGGTTTTTAAGCCTTCAAATGCTACCTTCTCTGTGTTGTCGTAAGCAATAGATTGCTTTTCCATTCCTCTTATCTGATTTAATGTTGTGAGCACAATATTTTTTTTTCATAACCTGTTCAGCGAAGAGACAGCAACATCAAATGATGATCCTAAAAGAAAATGTTTGTTTTGAAGTAATGTTTCGTATAGTTTGCCATCAGTTTGGCATGTCTGCCACTTTTGTTTTGCAATAAAATACCTGCACATTTTCCATACCGCTACTTCTGTTTGCATGACACTTGAAATTTTGCTCATTGTACATTAATTACCATTTTTTATATTTAAATTCTAGATTCACAAACTTTTTTTTATTTTTATTTGTGGCTAAGAAATGGCTATTAACTTTTTTTGGTGGGGCCAGTGAAAATATTGGCAGGCCAAGTAAAAATCTGAACCACTGGTCTACTCAGGCCAGTAGAAAAAATCCTTAGCGTTGAACACTTAACCCTTAAACATTTAACCCTTATACATTTAACCCTCCAGCCTTCTGTCTGCAGAATCAGCCAAAACACAAATTCAAAAATCAGCCAAACACAAATTCTACCACAAGTAACTCAGTAAAGCATCCTACTTTTAGTACTGTTACACATTATGCTGTATCTTCTTCAGCAGATATTTGTTCATGTAACCATTGTACTTGGGGAACTTACTGTTAATTCCTTTGTAAACTTTGTCTTCCAAGACAGTAAATTGTTGTTCAGTTTCCCCATAAGACTGTAAAATTAAATGTACATACCAAAGGCATCCGTGATCAGTTACTCTAGACTCTTCACAAAGACTCATGCAGCAGTTATGTTGTTTTACTTTTATCTGTCTTATCCGGCATCTTTTGTTTGAGTTTAACTCAACATAGAAAGAATCAAGAACATAGCATCATGCTATCATTAGTCAGCGTTGTCTACTGTATATACTGCCTAGATGCCGAAAAGCAGATGAATGTGAAGACCGAGAAATATTGACTTGCAATAGTGAAGAAACTCATCAACTACCATTATAAATGTTCCATATTGATATCTTTATGCTGCTCTAAAAATCATACTGATTCCAAACGTTTGCCTGTTATAAGTAAAGAGATTAATTTAAGATAAGATTTTGATCTTATTTGCTGTTTTTCTCCTTCACAGTTGGTGTAGTTGCAAACAATGCATTGAGTAACTCAAAAAGGGTGGTGCCTGTCACAGCAGACAGTGAAGTCAAACAGGAGGGTGGAGTCATAGCACGTAAGCTGCCCAATCACAGCCCCCCCAGCCCACTCTTGGGTAATGCTAACAACCCCAACAAGACTGAAATACCTGATCGGAAGAAAGGAAACTCCATCACATCTAATGTGAGTTTACTTCTCTGTTTCTGTCATTTAATACAGTGCATATAATGAAGGTGGTATTTTCTTATGCGCGGCTGTTCTAAACATTTTGAGTAAAAGCATAAAATCAAAATTGGTCCTAATTTTCAAGTGTATGTTTTTTTGTGTGTGTGTTGTGGTGATACAGTTATACATAATTCACCATAGCTTACATAAGTCATCTTATTCTGTTCTTTCAGGAAGCATTTGCTGTCAGTATTTCCTGACTAAGTTGTATGGTCTTTGTAATCACAATGCTTTATGTTGCTCAGTGTTTAGCTGTAGATTTCCTTTACCCTTTAAGGACCCTAGTGTTGTGAGAATTTCTTTTGCCCTTTAAGGACCTTTGTGTTTTGATGATGGATTTTGGTGGAAGTTTCACAGAGTTTTTGGTTGGCAATAAACGACACACGCATTTCGTGTGCTCAGATAGAAAGTGCGTCTGCGACTATTTATTGACTCTTACTACAGTGTAATAATATTTCAGTATTAACATTTTACTGAGATGGCATGGTAGCTCTGTGGTTAACACTGTTGCCTCATAGCAAGAAGGTGGGTCTGCTGGGGCAGTTGGCATTTTGTGTGCAATTTGCATGTTCTCCCTGTGTTCGCGTGGGTTTCCTCCGGGTGCTCCGGTTTTCCCCACACGCCAAAGACATGCATTATAGGTGAATTGGCTAAACAAAAAATTGTGTGTGTGTGTGTGTGTGTGTGTGTGTGTGTGTGTGTGTGTGTGTGTGTGTGTGTGTGTGTGTGTGTGTGTCTGTGTCTCTGTGTGTCTGTGTGTCTGTGTGTGTGTGTGTGTCTGTGTGTCTGTGTGTCTGTGTGTCTGTGTGTCTGTGTCTGTGTCTGTGTCTGTGTGTGTGTGTGTGTGTGTGTGTGTGTGTGTGTGTGTGTGTCTGTCTGTGTGTGTGTGTGTGTGTGTGTGTTTGTGTCTGTGTGAGTGAGTGTGAGTTTGAGTGAGTGAGTGTGTTAGTGTGTGTGTGTGTTAGTGTGTGTGTGTGTGTTAGTGTGGGACAAAGCTAAATTAAATTAATTAATGAATTAAAATGAATGAATGAATGAATTTTACTGTATTTTTGATTTAGAAAATTGCATTGTTATCATAACGAGACATAAAAAGGTCTCAACCACAAATGTTTGCATAGTAGTATACACTGTAAAGCATCACAACTGTTTTCTTGATGTCACACAGAATATCTCTGGATCAGGAAGCATGTCAAGAAGAAACACATATGTGTGCACTGAGAGAAACAACACAGACCGCCTTTCTGTCATTCCTAATGGGAAGGAAAACAGGTAAAGTTTATCTCTGCCAAATCTGACACTTATTTTAACCATGTTCAAAAGTGCTGAAACTAGGTCTGTCGTTTTCCACAAATTAATTATGATTAAATGTTGTTTAAAATAAAAATCAATTAATCAATTATTTGCCAACAATAACAATGCAATTTGTGTCTGTTTCAATGTCACCAGCATGACAGAATGTGCAAATGGCACTCAAAACAAAAGCATGCTCACCTGAAGGAATATGTTTTTATTGTAATTAAATGGCTTGCAGGATTGAAAAAATCAATGGTTGGTAATTTAAAGGGGTCATTTAATGATTTAAATTCAATGTCTAAAAAAACATCTCTAGGCCCATCTAAGATGGTGATGTGAGTAAACAGTTTAAAGGGATAGCCCCTTTGATCTTGACTGCATTAGGCCTGGGACACACTAAGGCCCAATCTCAATACCCCTCGTTTTTAGGTAGGGGTGTCCCAATTCTCTTTAGCTTGGCTAAGGGGAAGGGGTGATTAGCCCTTCGAACGAAGATTTTCGAGGACCACATTTGAAACCAAGGGATATTTCTTCCTGGATACACCTGTCACAATGGCAGTATTGCGATCTAATCCATAATCATAACTCCTGTATAGTAGTCCCACAACATTCTGACACTGTCAGAAAAGTCTTGTGTCTGAGAATAAGCTTTTTACAGCGTCTGCTATAATGTACAGCTGCACAATTAATCGAAAAAAGATTGCGATCTCTATTCGACCCCGTAGACGATCTTAATCCAGCTTTTCTACGATTCTGCCAATCATATTTTCAAGTTCAGGAGAGAAGCAAAGGTGGCTGCACGAGTCTTTTCATTGTTTCACATACATTGCTCAGGGACATGGACACCTCCAAATGATGTTAAAAGAGTCACATAGTGTATGCAAAAGGTATAATTTACACAAGTGTAATTTTTGTCTTCATATAATGCTGTATTGACGGCCGGAAAATCACACGTAACGTGAGCTGCTGACCGTGAGCTGTTAACACAGAGAGGGCAGGCGCACGTCCTACCTAATGATAGACGCGCGCGCATCTACTTTAGTGAACAGAACCTGCATAGGCTGTGAATAACAGGTGATAAAGTTGTAAATAATATTATGTTTGTGGCACAGAGTGATCGTTTGAGAGTACGAATAGCACAGTATGAAAACGAAAGCAAGCACATCATTTAAATAATCATATCAAAACTATGGTGGCACACCATCTTTACCAGACTCGGGCAAAGTCCGCCTCTCTTTTTAATCCACCCGAAGCCCCAGCTGGCCCTTTTTGGCCCAAAGTATTAGGTGGGCTGAAAAAAGCTGGCCCCGAGAAAGCCCCGCTTTGGCCCGATCAGGCCCTGGAAGTGACAGTGGAAATGTGACTGACTTTAGCTCGCCCTGGCTCTCTCACTTTAGGCACGATAGTGAAAACGCAGCTATTGGAGCTTGTTGGCCTAATTCAGCATGTCAAATTAGCGTCAGCTTTCTGCTGAAGAGAGCTCTCTGACGGGATATTCAGCAACGAATCAGAGCACATACTGAAGTGACATAGCAAGTGGCCAGCTGTGATTTGCCTATTTTGTATTTTTAGATTATCAGACATATGTACAGGAATGAATTCCTCTGTGATGAGTGAAAGCTACTGTGATAATGGTATTGACCCCTCCTTTGTTTAAAAATTGCACAAGTCTGAAGTTAAGTTAACTTAATTGATTGATTGTTTCCATCCTTAGTTGCAAAAAGATGTTGTTTAGAGAAACCAAGCCTTATTTTATGTCTCTCCACAGTGTATCACTGTCTCCCAGCTCAAGGGATCCTGGTGCCTCCACTCACAGCATCAGCACTTCTGTCACACCAGACAAAACACGTTTCCCAAGAGGCTCGGCAAGCCGCAGCACCTTCCACGGACAAGTAAGAGATCGACGCACAGCCACCTACAATGGGCCACCCGCCTCACCAGCACAACCCCGCAGCCGCGCCAACGCCAACAACCTGCTTACCAAGCTGACCTCCAAACTTACCCGCAGGTAAATGCATTCACATACATTCAATTTAGGCCTGTGTATTCCTTGTTTCCTGACTTAACTATTCTTTTTTTTCAGGGGGTTATTAAAAATGGTTTATTTTTTACATCTTTGTAATGTCTACCTTTTTTCACTCTTTTGTTGTAGAAATATGTCATTCAGGTTTTCCAAAAGGTAGGACATGTGTAAATCTGTCCTTAACGTAATGAGAGGCATTTAGGGGGTGATGCACTAACCCATAGTGATTTGATTGCAGTGTTTTGGAGTTTATTCTCCCTCAGTGGTTGATTACAGCATGCTTTAAAACACTGCCTGCATACTAGCGTGACCGGATCAAATCAATCTACTGCTCTTTAACTGATTGTTACTAATCTAAATGTTTGCATGACACAAGCTGATTGTGCAAAACTTTGTGTATAACCTGACATGGCCAAAACCACTTCATTCGAATCATTCAGCCGATTCCATGATGCCTTTGAATTTTCTTTTCAGCTGTACAGATTGTAGAGTTTTGCATATGCTGCAGCAGTTCTGTGTAAAAGTACTGGTACTTACTGGTACATACTGGTATTTATTTGTAACATTATACAAGTTTTGATTTAAAGGCAAAGTTCCTCAAAAAAAAATGTTTGTCACTTTTTAGAACTCATTTGTCTTCTTCACATAAGAACATACTTTAAAGATGTTGGTTCTGGTAAAATATTTTATTATTATTATTATCATCATATTTTTTTAAAGTAAAATTTTGTATGTAATAAGCTGTTGTAATGCTTACTGTAGTATGCTTTTTGACGAATATAGTTAATATCTTCAATATGACATTATTGAAAATAATATATAATAATTCAAATACACAAAGTAGTCTTATATGAAACTTTATGGTGGAGAAAGATTGAGAATGGTGTGCATTGAGGCTAGTAGTGTATAGTATTGACAAAAAACTAAACGGAACAGTAACTATATTTTTAGGAGATTTGTTTTTCAAAAAATCTAATGAAATAATATTTTCCTATATGCCTTTTTGTCCTTTATCTCCTCAAAATAATCAAGTCTCTGACTTTTTGAGTGATTTGCTGAAACACTTATTTGATTCCTTCAAAATGGCTGATATGTTTTGAAGCAAAGCATGTGACTTATGAACGGGTCATTTAATCATTGAAAACTGTGACTGTTTGTGTGATATTGCTAAATACATAATAAAAAATAAAATGTATTAAAATATTTTCTTCTCCTGAACAAATCTGTACAGAACAATAGACTTTCTACTATTAAACTCTAAAAAGTTTTTAATAACTTTATATTTAATTGAATGTAACAAAAACATCCAACATGCACATACTGTAAGTGTGTCTTTTATTGCACTTTGTCTACAGCCTTCAAAATGACTTTTCTCCTGAACTGAAACATCCAACTTTATTCGCATCCGTATTCTATTTTTACAGAAGAATGTTTGAACATAATTTGAATTTAATTTGCATGGTTATGTAATTTTTTTTGCCATATGGCATATTTTTCTGAATTATGAACAATGATGTTATTTTAAAAAAAGAGAACCAATATCCTTTAACTTTAATGCTGCGTTCACACCAGACGCGGAAGATGCGTCAAGTGCAAGTGATTTACATGTTAAGTCAATGCAAAGACTGAATAGACATCCTGCGGCACGAGTTTAGCGAGTTGAGCATTTTTCGCGATTGACGCGTTTAACGTGTGTTTCGCACAAATTGCTCGAGTTCGAAAATCTGAACTTCAGTGGACGTTCGCAATGCGTTAACCAATCAGAAGCTTGCTCTTGTGGGTGTGTGATTATGACATAGCACCTGTTGTTGGTGTATCGGGAGAAAATCCTCCTACCGACACTAACAACAGTTTATTAAACTGGCTCGGCTTAGTCAGAAGCACCGCTGAAAGCTTTCATCATCCAGGTACAGTTTCTGTAGGAGTTGATGAACTCACAGAGCTGGGTATACCTCTGAATGGATTTAGGGGACTCAGACACGGCTCCCAACAAATCGACGCTGTTTTTAAAGCACATAAACATAACTATTCTCTTAGTAAAATTCATGTTAGCCATTTAACAACGAAGCTAGAGTCACGGGGCAGACAAAAGCCCTGCCCATCATGTGAATCCGTGTCTGTTGTGAAGAGAATTTGACGCGTAAATGAAGCAAGTAAACTGAAAAGTTCACGCGTTTATTTACATGTGAATAGTGCAATTTATCCACGCGTACCCCATCTGGTGTGAACAAAGAATAATGGTCAAAGTAAAAAGTTGATTTAAGAATGTGGCTTCATATTAATGTTTTGTTATTGAAATGTTTTTGCAAATTAGCACTCATTTAATTATTCATTTTCCTTCAGCTTAGTCCCTTATTTATCAGGGGTTGCTACAGCAGAATGAACCACCAACTATTGAGGCATGTGTTTTACACAGCGGGTTTCCTTCCAGCTGCAACTCAGTATTAGGAAACACCCATACAGTTTAACATTCACATATGCAGGATTTCACATTCACAAATGTCAATTTAGTTTATTCAATTTACTTATAGCGCATGTCTTTGAACTGTGGGGGAAACCGGAGCACCCGAAGGAAACCCACATGAACGGGGAAAACATGCAAACTCAATACAAAAATGACAACTGTTCCAGCCGGGGCCCAAACAAGTGACCGTCTTGCTGTGAATTGACAGTGCTAACCACTGAGCCACCGTGTCGCCCCCAAATTAGCACTCATTTAAATATACTTTTATATATCTTAAATATATACTTTAAAAATATTTTTTTATAAAAGAAAGATACAATTCTCACTATTAATAAACCATTGACTATGACTTTAAACTCCTTATTTGCGGCTTATTAACAGTTATTTATATATCAGGTCTGGGTTTTAGGTAGGATTAGGGATGTAGAATAAGTTCATGAATGATATGTACTTTACAAGCACTAATAACCAAGCAGATCTTAATAATAAGCAGGGTATAAGCCACTAGTTAATTATGAGCATTGGTACTTAACAGTTGAGCTGTTGATTTCTTATATGGATTTTCCCAGGATTTTTGAGGGATTATAAAATGTTAGGACTTTATTTTTTTGTTTGTTTGTTTTTTTAAATTTAGAACAATTTAAAGTGTAATTATATTTCTGGAGGGCTGTTTCTCTGCGAACACTTATCTTTAAGAGCATATGGTCAAGTTCAGTGGGAGGATTTTATTTAAAGCTTACTGTAAGCTACAGTAGACTCCATTTTGAGTCATCCTCATGATGACCTTTAGATTATAAACTTCTAATAAAGCTCTTACAGTACAAATGCTTGATTGATGATGGAAACTGTCTCAATCTACCCCTCTCTTCTCTGTGTTTCCTTTTCTTTCTTTCTTTCTCCATCCTTCCTACTTCCCTGTATCTCTTTCTCTGTATTCCTCTTCCTCAGGGTCACTCTTGACCCAAGCAAACGTCAGTGTGCTGTTAAATCAGGTCCGGCTGCTCCCTCTGTGCCCCCCACCCTCACAGTCCCCTCCAACCCTGCGGCAAAGACCCTTAGTAAGTTTGTGCTCCAGTCGTCGTCGTCTTCTTTTTAATCATCCCTTGCTCTTCTCCTCCTGCTTCAGCCCTAAATCCACAGCATGGGGTTCCTACAAATCACAGAAAAACTGGGAATATCAGGACATTTTACATTTTAAAAGGACAGTAAATGTGCAAAATTATTTATATATGGTTGTGCGTGTGTGCGTGTGTGTGCGTGCGTGCGTGCGTGCGTGCGTGCGTGCGTGCGTGCGTGCGTGCGTGCGTGCGTGCGTGCGTGTGTGTGTGTGTGTGTGTGTGTGTACAGTTTAATTATTAGCCCCCTGTTTATTTTTTCCCACTAATAACAGATTTATTTTATCTTTGCCATGATGACAGTAAATAGTATTTTACTAGATATTTTTAAGACACTTCTATACAGCTGACACTTCTATACAGCTAGACAAGTGAGGCTTAAAGGCTTAACTAGGTTAACTAGGCAGGTTAGGGTAATTAGGCAAGTTATTGTATATCGATGGTTTATTCTGTAGACTATCGAAAAAAATATATAGCTTAAATGGGCTAATCATTTTAAATAAAAACTACTTTTATTTTAACCGAAATAAAATAAATAAGACTTTCACCAGAAGATAAAATATTATCAGACCTACTGTGAAAATTTCCTTGCTTTGTCAAACACCATTTGGGAAATATTTAAAAAGGAAAGAAAAATTCAAAGGGGGTCTAATAATTCTGACTTCAACTTTGTATGTGTATATATAATTATATTAATATTAATATTGACTTTAAAATAAAAAAATAAAAAAACTTGTTATTTCAGCTAAAATAAAACACCAAAGAGGTTTTTGAAGGAAAAAACATTGGAAATATTGTGAACATTTTCTTGCTCCACTAAATATCAACTAAATATATTTGAAGAAAAATAAAAAATATTTCACAGGATGGCTGATTATTTTGCTCTCAATTGTGTGTGTGTGTGTGTGTGTGTGTGTGTGTGTGTGTGTGTGTGTGTGTGTGTGTGTGTGTGTGTGTGTGTGTGTGTGTGTGTGTGTGTGTGTGTGTGTGTGTGTGTGTGTGTGTGTGTGTGTGGCGCGTGCACATAGAGGTTTTACAATGATACGGAAACAACTGGTTTTAAAGCCCAATAGTTCATTAATATGTCAGGGTCTTGCACTTTGTAGTCCTGCACAGAGGCCATGGGGATTTTGAGCCATTCTTCTTGCAGAATAGTGATTGGATCACCACGTGATGCTGGCGGAGGAAATCATTTCCTGACTCGCTCATCCAAAACACCCCAAAGTGGCTCAAGAATATTGGTGAACTACACGTTCATGTTCGTCAAAGCAATCTGTCACCAGTCTTGCTGTGTGAATTGGTGCATTACCATCCTGATACACAGCAGACAGCACCACAGGAAACAAGGTTCTTTGGGGCTTCTTCACACCATAACTCTCCCAGATGTGGGAAGACAGTGAAAGGGGACTAATCGGAGAACAATACACTCACTGGTCACTTTATTAGGTACACCTTACTAGTATTGGTCCTTATTGACATGATAGCATCATGCAGTTCTCGGCTGACGTCCATGATGCAAATCTCCTGTTCCACCACATTCCTTAGGTGCTCTATTGGATTAAAATCTGGTGACTGTGGAGGCCTTTTGAGTGCAATGAACTTGAGATGAGTCGTGCTTTATGACATAGCGTGTTATCCTGCTGGAAGTAGCCATCAGAAAATGTGTACTCTGTGGTCATAAAGAGATGGACAATGGTCAATGGTCAGCAATAATACTTGGGTAGGCTGCCGCGTTGACACGATGATTAATTTGTACTAATGTACACATGGTAAAGTGTGCCAAGAAAATATCCCCCACACTATTACACCACCACCGTCAGCCACATTTTTCTAATATTCTATTGTCCAAATTTGGTAAGCCTGTGCGAATTGTATTCTCAGTTTCCTGCTCTTAGCTTACAGGAGTGGCACCCAATGTTTTCTTCTGCTGCTGTAGCCCATCCGCCTCAAGGTTCAATGTGTTGTGCGTTCAGAGATGCTCTTCTCGGTTGAAATGCTCAGATGCTGGGCTGAAATAAGTGGTTATTTGAGCTACTGTTGCCTTTTGTTTCAGCTGGAAGCAGTCTGGCCATTTTCCTCTGACCTCTGCCATCAAAAAGGCATTTGCACCTACAGAACTGCCGCTTACTGGGTATTTTCTATTTTGGACCATTCTCTGTAAACCCTAGAAATGGTTGTGCATAACAATTTTAGTAGATCAGTATTTTCTGAATTACTCAGACCAGCCCGTCTGGCACTAGCAACCATGCCACTTTCAAAGTCACTTATATCACCTTCTTCCCCATTCTGATGCTCAGTTTGAAGTGCAGCAGATTGTCTTTACCATGTCTACATGCCTAAATGCATTGAGTTGCCGCCATGTGGTTGGCTGATTAGAAATTTGTGTTTACGAGTAATTGGACAGGTGAACCTAATAAGGTGGAGGGTAGTTGTATATTTAACTTTGTCCAAAGCCCAAGATTTTTACTGCTGGCACCATTGAAAACAAAGGTTGGTATTGGCAAAAGTGGCCAACAGTTTTGATGGAAACAGAAAAGTTGAAGTGCACCTTTAATTCTGCAGTGAGTTGGGAAGCTCTGCTTTTAAGTTTTCTAGATGCAGTCTACATCACATTCGGACAATTCTTTCAAACAGCTTTCACTTACATCCACAGTTATTCCTTTTGGATGTGGTTCATCTGTCTTGGTAGTTGCTGAAATTATTCTGGACACCGTGGCTCTTGATACATCATAAAGTCTGTTGGCAGATCTATTTTAGTCACAGATCTGCCAGCGAGACACACACCAGCTATTTGTTGTCTGATATGTCACTCATAATGCTGTGCGCATTGTAACATGTTAAGCAAAACTGTGCTGTTACTCTGCTAATAAAACCTTCAAACTCTACTCTTAATAGATGATTGTGCAATCAATAAAGATTGGCCAAAAGGCTAGTAAAATTTAACCATGAAACCTCCAACTCTAACTTGTCCAGATTCATTGTACAACCTGTGTGTGTGTGTGTGTGTGTGTGTGTGTGTGTGTGTGTGTGTGTGTGTGTGTGTGTGTGTGTGTGTGTGTGTGTGTGTGTGTGTGTGTGTGTGTGTGTGTGTGTGTGTGTGTGTGTGTGTGTGTGTGTGTGTGTGTGTGTGTGTGTGTGTGTGTTTTGCATTTTTTCGCCTAAAAAAATGAAGAACGGTTTTTATTTTGCATGAAGACTCACAGGTTGATTCATACACCAATTTAAGCAAGTCCTTATTGAATTTGTCATGAATACTGAGTTTTTCTTCAAATTGACTGGTCTGAAAGTGTGGGAACCCTATCTTTAACCCTACGCATCTGTACTCGCTGTTTGTCCACTATTTTTAATTTCTTCCTTTCTTTTTTTTGGCTTTGAACTGCTCTTTTCTTCCAGATTCAGCAGCTCTGGCTATAGGCAGTTGTAGGAATACACAGCTGAAGAGTGTCTAGAGTAAGGGCTCATTTAAAATGCACAAACAACATGAAGCTACAACCAACACACTTTGTTTAATGGAGAGCGAAAGACTGTGTGCCTGTGGGAGAGAGAGGAAAAGAACGATTGCTTTGTTTGTGGATTTCAGTCTGAAGTTATGACGTATCCATAAAGGCACTACAACACTCACCTCTCGCATGCCAAGAGCACAGATTAATGTATGTACAGACACGTTCTCTATATCTGTTTATGTGTCTGATGTCAGGTCACAGCCAATGTCTCGCATCCAGTGCTCAGAATAGGCTTTTACTCATGATGCACTCTGGCAGTCAACTTCTAGATGTTATATTGTTCTTGAAGGAAGCAGCATGGCAGTACAGATGAGTGCATGGTGAAGTCTAGCATTCATATTCAAGTGTCGAGTCAATTGTAAAGTCCAGTTAAAGCAGTTTTTGTGTTTGTCTGATAAAAAATGCTAGGTTTTTGCTTTACTTTTTTTTTTGTCTTTTTATGCAGTCACCCTTTCTCTCTTAATCCATCTCATTGTGTGTGTAGTGTGAATTGCTCTAAAAGGACTAAAATTATTTCCTTTTCCCTTTTTTGTCTCTCTGTCCTTTTGCTTCATTGTGATCTCTAATCTCTCAACAAATACACAATAACAGAGTCTCAACCGAGTTTGAGAGAAGCGGGAGATTTGAGGGCTCAAGGTGAGGTGACTGTGACTTTGGAAACCATTATTTCCTTCTCTTTTTTGTGTTTTGTTGACTTTGTTTGCCTTTCCTGTTGTGAGACTGTATATTAGTTAATTTGGTACGGAGCCATTTGTATGCTTTATTAATATTAAATGGTCCAGTAATGTTTTCCCCTCCGTTTACATTGGGCTTGGCGATATAAAATATTAAAGTCCATATGAAAAAAAATTATGTGCCTTGTTAGCCCTAAACTTAAACTGTTACTCCACACCCACATTTATGTAAGAGTAGTTAAGTTACTATTGTTCTTATATTGTTCTGTTAAATACATTTTAAAGTTTGTCTCTCTCTATATGTATTTATGTATGTGTTTGTTTATGCATGTTTGGATTGGGTTTAAACACACATACATGCATTCATGCATACATGCATACATACATGCATACATACATACATACATACATACATACATACGTACAGTACATACAGTATTCAGACTTCCTAAAAGTTGCCGTTTTTAAGTTTGACACCCAGTAGTTAAACTTGGTATTGCATTCCTGAATCAAAACACAAGCAGGCACAGGTTGCCAGATTGACTTAGTTACATTTTTTTTTCAACCAGCAAGTTTTTTTTTTTTTTTTTTTTTTTTTTGACTCAAGGCCATGCGCTTTAATTTCACTCTGTTTAATTCTGTTTTCATTTAGCCTTTTGTTGTTAATGATTACTTCATTGTCAGCAACACAAATAAGTTATACTTTAAATTGCAAAATATAGAAAAAAGTTTTAAAAATTTTATCAGAATAGTCAAAACATTTTTAACTGTATTGCTCAGCCCCAATTTGTTACATTGCAATCAAATATGAGCTGCTTGTGTGCATGATTCAATCTGCTGTGCATTTGACTAGCATTAATTCTCATGCGTAATTATTAGGATTGTAACCAATGCATGCTTCTGCACTGACTGTTAACTACCATGATATAACCTCAATATAACTTTAACTGTGTGTGTACGTATATATATATTCTGACTCCAACTATATATATATATATATATACATCTAATAGAATTATTATATATATTATTATATATATCAGAATTATTAGCCCCCGTTTGAATTTATTTTCTTTTTTAAATATTTCCCAAATGATGTTTAACAGAGCAAAAATTTTCACAGTATGTCTGATAATATTTTTTCTTCTGGAGAAAGTCTTATTTGGTTTATTTCAGCTAGAGTAAAAGCAGTTTAAAAAAAATTTAAAAGCCGTTTTAAGGTAAAAATTATGTTTTTTGATTAGCCTACAGAACAAACCATTCTTATACAATAACTTGCCTAATTATCCTATAAGAGCTATAAGTTCATTGTTTTTATTTATTTTAAATTAATAATAATGTGAAAAGCAAAACTTTTTGTACTTTTCACTTCTATTGTCACTGTATAGAAGTCTTGAAAAACATCAAGTACATATTATGTTCTGTCATCATTACAAAAATAAAAGAAATCGGTTATTAGAAATGAGTTATTAAAACTATTATGTTTAGAAATGTTTAAAAAATCTCTGTTAAACAAATTGGGGAAAAAATAAAAAAGAGGGGGCTAATAATTCTGACTAACTCTCTGTTTGTGTGTGTGTGTGTGTGTGCGTGCGTGCTTTTCTTAATCCATTGCTTAACCCTTCTCTCTCCCCCCCCATTCCTGTTGTGCTTCATTTAATAGTCGCCATGTATCTGGGGATCAGCAGAAAGATGAAGGGAAAGATGGAAAAGACGGGAAACCCCGCTCTCTCCGTTTCACCTGGAGTATGAACACCACCAGCACTATGGAACCAGCAGACATCATTAATGAGATTCGCACAGTTCTGGATGCCAACAGCTGCAGTTACCAGCAACGTGAATGCTTTCTGCTTCTGTGTGCCCATGGCGACTCTCACACCGACAGCCTTGTCCAGTGGGAGATGGAGGTGTGCAAACTGCCCCGGCTCTCACTTAATGGTGTCCGTTTTAAGAGGATATCTGGCAACTCCATCGCTTTTAAAAACATTGCTTCCAAAATTGCAGGCGAACTCAAGCTATGAATATATCTTTATCTACACAGAGGAATTTATGATTCAGTTCAGTATAGGCAAACCAGTTAAGCTGTACAATCGTAAAGTAGCAGTTTACATTTTTTTTATGAACCACTTACATGTATTTGAAAAACTGTATATATTTTAACATTGCTTAAAGCAATAATTTCTTAACATCGTTCATACAGTTATGGTGTTATCGCGCAAGTCGTTAAATGCTGTATAAAAAAAGAACAGGTTTGAAACTTTCAGTGTTACGATTGTATGAACTCATTAAAAGCAGACTCATTGCCATCAGACAGATGAGTTGAAAATGATCATTAAGGATTTGTGATATTTTGCTTTATTTGAGCTTTTTAATAGCCACTGTTATGTGGTGGTTTTAAGTATTACATGTTTTGGATGGCTCTTGTGTAAAGAGTACAGCTGATCCTTGAGTTGCTTTCTTTTTAATTTTTGCTCTGCCCCTCTTTGTATTGAGGTTGCTTTGTCTGTGAAAGTGGCTACTGATTTGAGTTCAGTTTCACTGCTTGAATGTTAAGAGCAACATTTAGATGTTTTATAATTTATTTCATGTTATTGCCCACTTTATTGTATTTTGTTGTGTAAATAATTTACTTTGAGGTAATTACACATTTTCATACTGTTTTGTTGGAAACCAAGAGGACGTCTTGTAATCATTCACTTTAAAGACTCACCACAGATTTAAATAAACTATCTGTAACTTGTCACGGTGTTAATTGCAGAGATATAATACAGCTATAAAATGAACACTTGATCAGACTCTTCTTCATGTTTGATTATTTTTTCTAACACATTGTACAAAAATTGCACACAACACTTTTTCAATGAAAATAGTCTGAATATTATTTTGAATGTTTATTTATCTATTCTTTTATCAACAAACGGCTAAACTTATTTAATCAAAATTATAGCAAAAACATGACTATTTTGAAATTGTGCAACTTGAACATTTTATTTAATGTAAAATGTAACTTACCCCTTAATATATATATTAACATGCAATAATGCAGAATATGCTTGTTGCTGATTATATTTAACGTTAATTTAATTGACAAAAGTACAAAGAATTTCAGTTTTCAATGCGCAAATTAGTTGTATTCAGAAACTATAAACACACTTTGATGGCTGCCATATGCTGCACATTCCAAAAAAAGTTGAGATTAAGGCTAAATAAAAGTTTCACGAATAAATAAATTACAAAATTTAAAGGATACACTAGAGGTTGTGTTTAAGTATAAAATATTTATGTATAATTATATGTAGATTATATGTCTTATTCATGCTTTCATGACCTCTTGGTTAGACTACTGTAATGCATTGATAGGTGGTTGCCCTGTCGGCCTAACTAACAAATTTCATCTGGTTCAAAATGCAGCTGCTAGAGTGCTTTCTAGATCTAAGACAATGGTTGTATTACTGTGGTACTTTCAGCATTGCTATAGCTCCCCGTTAAACATTGTATAAATTTTCAAATCTTACAAAGCTTTGAATGGCTTAGCTCACTAGTATTGAAAGGAACTCCTACTGTGTTACAGCTGTTACATTGATTAAATTTCTACAATATCGAAATTCATTGTAGGCAGTAGATACTTCTCATATCTGGCACCTAAACTATGGAACAGCCTTTCTAGCACATCTCTTTGCATTAGCATATACATAAAATAATGCATAACTTTTGAAATACAAATCTTTTTTTAGGCTGTGTTAATTAGGGCAAGGTAACATAGTGGCTCAGTGGTTAGCACGGACCTCAAAAAAGAGAGGAGGTTGCTGGTTTGATTTACCCTGTGTTCGCGTGGGTTTGCTCCTGGTGTTCCTGTTTTCCCCACAGTCCAAAGACATGTACTATAGATAAATTGAATAAACTAAATTAGCTGTAGTCTGTGAGTGCATATGTGAATGTAAAACTGTATGAGTGTTTCCCAGTACTGGGTTGTGACTGGAAAGGCATTCGCTGCATAAAACATATAGTTGGTTGTTCATTCCACTTAGGAAACCCCTGATAAGTACAGGACTAGGCTGAAGGAAAATTAATGAATAATTAGGTCAACTGGGAGGCTCTGGTGAGTCTCTCTTGGAGTACTGAGTGTGGGAGAAAGTACTGAGAGCTGTATCAAAACAGGGCTCATAGTTATTCACGACTACCAAATATGGTCAGTATGGAGCTTCTGATTCTTACTAGTATTTTATGAAGTAATACAACGTGTTTTTTTAATCTGCCTATGGCACGTACCTACTTTGAAGATATCAAACGTTTAATTAAAATGTAAAGATGTAAATATACAGCAGATAAAATAGAAAAAAAATGTAGATAAAGAATTGTTTTGGAATCAGACTTTGACTGCAGAATTGGATTAAATTTGCCAAATCTTTATTTCTGGCACTTTTACAATGTAGATCAAAGTGTCAAAGCAGTTTAACATAGAAGATTATAGTAAATTGAAACTGTGTCAGTTCAGTTTTCAGAGTTTAGGTTCACTTTAATTCAGTTCAGTGTGGCTTAATTTTCACTGCTGAGAGTCCAAACACTGAAAAGCAAATCCATCGATGTGCAGCAGCACAGTTACTCCAAACTGGTCTGACTCAGGTTGCTATATCTTTTCAAACTGATCCGACTTACGATTTTCCGAAAACTGACCTGGAAAATTTGGAAAGTCCCATTGACTTAACGTTGGACCAAATTTTGTGACATCATAACTTTCCAACAAACTGTTATGCAGTCTTAAGGTTATGCTCATTTAACTTTAGACTACCTATCTGCCAATCATTAATGACATTTTAACTTACTAGACACACCCTAGCAACCACTTACAGCACCCTAGCAACTGTCCCATACACTTCCATAATAAAAAAAAAACTGCCATTGACTTTACACTGGACATACTAACAACATACCAATTCACACATACTAACAAAACCTACTAATCATACTAGCAACATACTAATTCATACTAAATTCATTCTAACGACATGCTAGTTTATACTAGAAACATGCTAGTGACATGCTAGTTCATACTAAAACCATGCTAACAATATGCTGATTTATTCTAGAAACATGGTCATTTATATTGGCAACTGCACAGCAACCACTCAGAACACCTTAGCAACCTCTCTCTCTCTCTCTCTCTCTCTCTCTCTCTCTCTCTCTCTCTCTCTCTCTCTCTCTCACAATCTCTCTCTCTCTCTCTCTCTCTCTCAATTGAATTCAATAATTGCTTTGTTGGCATGACACAATGTTACAAATGTATTGCCAAAGCAGTTATAAAGTTTTCATAAAATTAAAATAACATACTTATTTGATAAAAACACAGTAAACAGTAGTAGTAGCAGTAGTAGTAGTAGTACTTGTAAAAAGGATGTATATACGTATAATAATTAAATAAAAATATAAATAATATATTATTCAATATATCATATTATTGTTCAATTTATCACATTATTATTCAATATATCATATAATTCACATCATATTATTAATTTATAACAATTACAACATTAATAGATCAGAATAAACTGTACATTTAACAATCAACATTTTAGGATAAAGCAGTAAAAACAGCAATCAGCTCTGTTTCTCTATCTGAGTGGACTCTTTGACCTGCGTGTGTGTTTATGAGGTAACGTTTTATCTCCTCTCTTGGCTTTTACAAGAATGTTCGGCTGAGTGAGTTTTCTGCACTGTGTCGCCATCTATAATGGATCAGCTGATCGGTGTGCCTTTTAACATCAGAATGACTGTTAGATCTAATCGCAGCCTTTTCTGATGAGCATGTAACCAATCATATTCATTTAAGACCTTGCTTAACAATGCTCAAAAAGCAAGAGAGATAATATTTACATTAGTTTATTTGCTATAAATGCTCATGTTATTCTATGCAAGTCCTTGAGTTTTGTTTGATACTTTCAAAAATACTTCTTCTTTGAGCAGGTAACATTAAAGGTACAGTTCATTTATCTGACTGCTTATTACAAATAATAGTTAAAGATATTTATAAATTATACATTTTAATACAAGAATTATTGTGTTATCATATGTGAGATATCGTATTGAACCAAATCGATGGCATTAGAATTGTAACCGAACCAAACTGTGAGATAGGTGTAGGTTCACACCCTTGTTATTTATACTAAAATAAACTTGTGTTTGGTTTTCATAGTTTTAATGGAAACTAGCACTGTTTCTCAATTCCAAGAACGCAGAGAACGGACTTGTGTTCTTGTGGAGACCGGTCTTGCCAGGTGTCCTCGGAAGAACGAACTCAGGAGACCGCGAGGGCAGAGAACGCGTCCTTTGAGAATTGAGATGCTGCGTTTTTCCTGATGGTCACATGACCTTCACGTGTTTTAAATGGTAAATTATTTAAACATTACAGCATTCATACAATGATTTATTGTTTTTCCCCTTTTCAAAATATATACTTTGCATAAAAACATTATAAATATATGTTGCACAACATAAATAAAACAGATTTTAATGCGAATTTCAGCAAACAAACACCCTTAATGTGTTTATTCTTTAAGATGTCCATGGTAATGTATACTGTCACCGTTTCATTTAGGGAAACTCCTGAGGTAAATAAGTCATATTTATGAACTTTAATAATAAATCTAAATAAAATGCTGCGCTTCCCACCTTCAGTCACAATGACTTCTGGGACTTCCAGAGCGAGTTCGGTGCTCAAGTCTGCATCGGTGCGTCCTCGATATCAAGAACACATCCGGGAAGTTTCACGCGTCCTCCGTACTTGCGGTCTTGAGTATTGGAACTGAACTTAGGCAGCTGATGATGACGTTTCACAAGGACGAAAGACCGCTGAAGAATGCATATTGAGAAACAGCCTAGATCTAATTTTGACAATTACACTCTAGCATATGCAGCTTGGTCAAGTTGGTTTTAGGTTTCATGCATGAAGTTTTAGGGATCATGGGAAAATTACATTCACAGAACCAAGACGCACAGTAACGAAAAAGACTACTACAGGGAACAAAGCTACTATACTGTACCTCTAACTATATAGTACATACAAAGCTGAAATTGGCAATATCTCTTCTCATAAGTATACAGAGCATATGTAGTAAAACATTTTCCAGGTAATTCACCTTAAATGTTATTGTCTTACATTTTACTCTTTATTTATGTACATCTCACAAATATTTGGGAAAAAAACATGTTTACAGTAATTCACCAGATGTAATTTTCTCATTCTTAAATATGTTCACATTCCTGGAGACTAATGTAACCCAATTAACCTAGGTTATTAATGAAAAGTAGAAGTGATGTGAAAAAAGTAAAAGAAAGCAAGGAAAATTAGACATTTAATCAATCTGTATTAATGTCATGGGCCCTTTAAGAGTCAACAGGAAAGCGAGCAAAACTACACCAACATACCATATTTGGTCAATAGAGGATGTTATGATTGAAAAAAGCTACAGTTGAGAAAGTTACAGTTGAAAAGTTATGGTTGAGGATATTAAATGATGCAGAGAGATGATCGAGAGAGAGAGAGCAACAGAGAGAAACTGGCCAAAGATGGCAATATCTGTTGAAAAAAAAATTAAAGACCTGTGAGCGATGTGTAAAACGAAAGACCCCTCCTGAAAGAGCTGCACCCCTGGTGAACATCACAACCAGCAGACCCCTTGAACTAGTCTGCATAGACTACTTGTCACTGGAGCCTGATCAAAGTAACACTAAAGATACCCTTGTGATTACTGATTATTTCACCAAGTATGCTGTTACCAGGAACCAGAAAGCTGAA